CATGTCGGTTTTGATTAGAATTTAAGTCAAAAAAGTTAATTTGTGCTTGTAATATTTTGTTGCCAAAACCCCCTAGAATTATAAATGTATTGTACGGATATTTAATTTAATTAATAAAAAGTATATTTATTGAATGTGTGGATGAAGTTTAAGTTTTAATTAAGAATGAAAGGAAGATAATTATGATTGAAAGGAATTATCAATAGAATGAGAAAAGATTGAATTACACATTGGTAACACTAATTGTTATGGTTATACTTTATCATAGGGGCTTAAACCAAATTAATGGAAATTATAAAGTTACGGATTGAAATTGTAGGGTCAAATTACAAGGATTGAAAATTTAGGGACTAAAGTATAAAATATTAATCTTGTGAGGGATCTACAAATTAAACTTAAAGGATAATTTTAACTAGATAAATCTAGAAAAATTCAAAGAAAGATAGGGAGAGTAAGTCGATTAAGGAAGAGGAAAGAAAGAGAAAATATTAAGGTCAAAAGGAGGAGGAGGAAGAGATAGAGAAGAAGAAGAAAAAATCAAGGTTTATTTAATGACCATCTTTGAGATCATTCCAAGTGTAACACACTTGGCTTGATCTCAGAAGAAACCCTAGCTATAAATATGGAGGTAGAAGAAGATGGAATAATTACACAATTGAGCTTTCAAGTAGCCCTAGAGGAGAAGAAACCAATAATCGGTAATCTCAACCATCCTAATTAGTCTAGAAACATTCAAAATCAACCTCCAAATCAACTTAGAAGATCAAGCGAGGAGAAGGAAAAAGTTCTCAACTTGGCTAGAATTTTTAGAGAAGAGGAAAAGAAAGGAGTCAAGGAAGAAAGAAGAACACGTGAGCAAAACTTAAGTGAGTTAAGTGTAATTCCTCACCTATATTATAAGAAATTAATGTTTTAAGTGTGTGATTGATGTTAACTTAAGGTTTACTTGATTAAGTTTTAATGAATGTTGTCTTGAGAATTGCCTTGTGGTAATTGAATTAAAATGAATTGATGATGCATATAAGTTAATGATATGTTAGTTGTGATGTTGGGATGTTTGGATGGAATGAAATATTATGTTTTAATATTGTCCTTGTTCTAAGAATAAGGTGGTTGGGATGACTTAAAGGCTTGAATGGATTATGTGTTGTATTGTTTAATGTCTACAAGGTGTTAGATAAAATTTCTTAGAGATGTTCATGAAGTTAGATTGAAGGAATTTTCCTTCCATTTGGTCTAAACTTAACCAAGCATGAAAAATAAAGGACAAAGAGGCTAATGTGAGGTAGATGTTTCTTGTGAGGTTTAGAAGAATAAATGGCATGAAAATGACCACATTCATGTGAGGAATGCTTGTTCATGCTACTTATCATATATGGCCATTATGTGATGAATAACGTTATCCATGTCTATTATTTTTTTATGGTACATTCATATTATACTTGCATGCTTATTTTATATAAAACATGTGATTGATTTATTATGTATGATACATGTTTTTTAGGATTTAAAGATATACATGTTAAGGTTATGTTTTTTTGTACTATATTTTATTTAAATGCATATGCACATGCATATCATAATCATGAAAGAGGTTTTATATTCATGATTTTAATGAAAGGAAAAGGAAAAGAAAAAGAAAAGATTTTCTAAAGAAATGGCTTGATACCTTTTTGAGGTTTATGGAAAAGGAAGGGTGACCTCTATTGAGGAAAATGGGATGCTTTACATGTTGAGGTTTATAAGAGACAATTGATCACCTTCTCTTGAGGAAAATGGGAATGCTCTATGTGTTGAGGTTTATGAGAGAGGAATGATCCCTTCTTTCTTGAGCAAAATGGGCACGCTTTACACGTTGAGGTTATGGGAAGGTACCTATTGCTTTTATGAGTTTTCATAATTACATGTTTTTACAAAGGTTCGATTATATATATAACCGACAAGGTGTGCCCAAAGAGGAAAAATGAATTTATGAAAATGATTTTACAAAAGTTACATCACGTGCATTCATACATGAAAGACGGTACATGCATTGCATGGGTTACATTTACTTAGCATTATCTTGCTTACCTTTGTTTCTTATGGTGTAGGAGAAGAAAAAGATAAATAAGGAGTCACCGTCAAAATATAAAAAAGAATTGCCCTCACGTGTGCTTAAGGTAAAAAGAGTATGAGAACTTTTCTTTAGCTTAACTTGAATTTTGGTTACATGTATGGCAAGTTAAGCAAATTTTGGCATGTATATTAATGAATCAAATTTTGTCTTGTAATAATGAATGACATGGTCGGATTTTAAGGTTGAGTATTATGTGAATGATTGTTAGTTATAGGACTTGACTACTTAATATGGTTAAGATGATATATTTGATTTGATTATGGAAAAGAATGAAATTAAGATATAATGCAAGTAACAATTAATTGACCGTTTGATTTAATAAACAATGAATTGAGGATAAAAAAAGTAAGGAATAAAAAGTAATGAAAAAAAAAAGGTATACTAAGGTTAAAACTAAAAGAGATCAATGATTAAGAAAAGTTATACCTAAATTATTCTTGAGGTGGACCTAGCATCTCATACTTATTAGGGACTTCACTAGGAAAAATTGCCCACTATACTAATAAACCGAAATGTTAAGAGAGGAGGCTTATTGGCTTACATTCATTGCACTCTGAATGTAAGTCAATGTCGATAATATTCATGACTTATCTAGGTCCTAGGTCAAAGGCATTACAATGCTAGTATTATTATCTAGGGCTTAGTTGGTGACCTTTTTATCCAAAATTAAAAGAATGAGTTAAAATCATTAAAATGGATAAGATTTATGATTTTCTAAAATATTGAGCCTAAAAATAGAAAACCTAAAAAGTGGCACTAGATTCGAGAGATTTTGAGATAAGAAGTTAGTTATTCCTTTGAAACAATCACCCAAAAACTTCATTTTTGAGAAAAGGTGTCGAGTTTAGTCTAATCCTAAGAATATCTCTAAAAAAATTATGTTTTTTCCAAGTTATTCCCCAAGTCTATTTTCAAGTTTATTTAGCATCTAGGTCAAATTCACTTTAGTATTTTTATGATAGCATCGTATTAAATTAACATCAAACTTTAAGATTTAGAAGTTGCGTCAATTTAGCATCGGATCTAATTACGTTCTATCATAACCAATATGTCGAGAAATGACCTAATTAGCTAAAGGTATTTAAATTGATTTGTATTTTTCCTAACTAATTTTCTTCCTTTTTTTGTTGATATTTTTTTATTGTGAGTCGAGACTAACATCATTCATTATTTAAACATAAGACTTGTTATCTCGACTTAAATTTTTTTAATTATCCTAGGAAGATGTGTTATTTTCTAATTACAAACTGAATTTGATATGGGATCATCATCATTCTTTAAAATAGAGGAGACTTGATGATCTCACATCTAGCAAAATAAACCTCAATTTAACGAGTTAATAGATAAAATAATCATAAGCATGACATAAAAGAAAATATCAAAATAAATACTAAACGTAATCTAAATTTAACAACATTTTTACAATAAATCTCTCTCTTACACACACGTGTGTGTGTGTGTGTGTGTGTGTATTTCCTAAAATTTCTAGACCAAAATTAAATAGGGAGTGAGCCCAAATAATTTAGTTTTCGAAACGAACTCCTCATCGATAAGTAAATTGATAGTAGAATATAAAAAAATGCAAATAAATATCAAATCAACCCCTAAAATTACAAAATTTAAAAATAGATCAAACAGAGATGGATGTTAAATATATAAAAATTTCAACCAAAAATAAAATAAAAATCTAGGCCAAAAAGATGGAAAACCAAAACGAACTCCTAAAAATATAATATTTGACCAAGTTTTATTATAAAGACTTTTAGGTGTCTTACATTGTGTCTCTCTCCCAAGTTCTCTAGATTCTTTCTAATCTTAAAAATATTTTTGGGGTGTAGAGGGCATCCTTAAATAAAGAATCACTCTAAAAAAATTAAAATATAAGAAAATCGATTTGGAAAATCATTACTTCAAACCGAAACGAGACTTAGTTTTTTATTAGTATTTTGTGTTACCAACAACCCTACTTTGGGCTTAACTCCCAAATTCTCTAGGAACTTTCTAACTTCAAAATTGGTTCTAAACCCATAAAAAATAATCATTTTCAAAGGTTAAGATAAATGAAACAAAATTGATCTGGAAAATTCCTACTTCAAACTTAAACATAGTTTTCTTTTTCTCTTCAAGTTTTTTGTATTGCCAATAGCCCTACTTTGGGCTTAACTCGAAGCTTAAAAAAAATGACATGAAATTTTTACACACCAAACATGAATATATAGACTATAAAACAAACAAAGAATGAGTTGAAAAGAACACCTCTTGAAGTTAAAACAAAATCGCAAAGTTCGAGTCCAGCGATACTAAGTTCATGAGAGGACCACTTTGAGATGATTTTTACATAATTGGTTCAATAGTATGATATAATATGCTTTAACCATAAACTGATACCCTAAACTAATTTTTTTCAATTTGAGTACCATAACTATTTTTTTATTTGCAATCAAGTCCATCGATCTCACTAACCAAATTTCGAGCATGTTTTTTATGCGTGATGCCGACAAGCATATGAGGGTGAATTAATCAAACTACTTTAGTCTTATTTTCCCTCCTTGTTTTTTCCCCTCCTTTCCTCTCTCTCTTATCTAATAAAAATTTTCAAACTCCAAGCCTTGAAATCTTCCCTTCGCCCCACCAATAAAAAGTCCATAACTATTTACATTAGTACTACCATACCAATGCTCGTTATTCCTCTCCTCGATCCTCACCATCATCAACTTTTCTTCCATTGTAAAAAGTTTATGATTGTTTCAAAATGGACACAATCAACATTTGAGACCTTCTCTCAATGAGTGATCTCATGGACCTAATCATGCCACTTTTCATCCTCGATCTCTAGCTCTCATAACTTGACTCAAATCTCACTCTCTCCAAATCAAATCGAAAGTCAAATCCTACATCCTCACTCACCACAACAACTTCTCCTTTCTCTTCTCCCTCTATAACGATGTCATTTCAAGAACCAACCAAATTAATCGGACCTTATTGGATCTTTTAGGTATACTTTTCGATTCTCATATCGATGGTGAGATTAGGGAGATTGTTGATGACTTGAGTAGGAAGATGAAGGAGGCAAAGGTAAAGAGGGAAATATTAGAGTTGGTAAAGATTAGCATAGGAATTAGTGAGAGGCTGGGAGGGGTGAAAGAGGAAGAATAGAATGGACAATTAGGATTTACAATTAAGGATATTTGAGAGTTGAAGAAGGTGTTGAGGATTGGTGATGAAAAGGAGAGAAAGCATGTTGTGTATGGTTTGTTGAAGAAGGAGTAGTGGCTCAATTGCTTCAACATTAACAATCCTATCTTTTTGTTTCAAAAATCATGTATTTTGTTTAAATTTAGGAGTTACGGGTGTTTCGTAATTTTACGGGATAGAGATACTAAAAAAAAAGCACATCATTGATCGAATATTCGTGTGTCATTTGATTATTGGGCCATGTCGACATCATGTGCAAAAAACAAGCTCGGAATGTAGTCAACGAGATTTACAAACTTGATTGCAAATAAAAAAATAATTATGGTTCTTGAATTAAAAAGTATCTAGATAGGGATATCGATCTATGATTAACATATAGTACGTAATACTATTGAATCAATTAACCATGATTTTTCTCTCATTTTCTCGTCGTTGTTTTCACTCATTTCTTCTTCAAAACTGATCTCCCAACTTCAAAATAGCTTTCTTTTTCTTTGTCTAACATTTCTTTCTTCTATATCTCTCTCCACAACTTCTCTATCTCCACCATCAAGGTTTCTCTCTACTTGACAGTGTCTTTTTCTTCTCCTTTGTTTTCTCCTCCTTTTTCTTATAAAGACCTCTCTTTTTTCATCTCAACCATTCATTATTCATCTATAGATCGTGTCCCTTCCTTTGAAATCCCCTAAAATCTTTTTCTCTTGCAGATTCATGGCTGCCAAAATGGGTTGCTGTAGGAAAGGCCATGCTTGTGGCAGCCACTTTGGCACTGAAAATCACGGGCAAGAGAGTCTAGAATTGGGGCCATTTAATGCTAATGGGAAAGAAGGGATCGTGGAGTGTTTAAGAGGCAAGTTTTATGACTTTTGGAGCGGCAAAAGTCCGGATTTTAGGATGAGAAAACAACTCCTCCTACACGGGAAAGAAAGAAGAAAGGAGGAGAGGGGTCGGAGGGAAAGCATTTGTTGCAGTTGGTCCCTCAAGTTTTGATTTTATTTCAATCAAACCCTTCAATTTGTTGCAATTTTTATCCTTCAATATCACCGATTGATTTTTTAATTGTTCTAATTTGTCCCTTGAATTTATATTATTCTTAAATTGGCCTCCTTTTCATTGATTTTCTGAATTTCATTCTATTTTCCTTTTTCTTTTTCTTTTTTTATTATCTTTTCCCATCACCATTTTTTCTTGTTTTATTTCTTCTTCCATTTTTCTTCTTTATTTCTTTCTCTCTCTCTCTTTTTTCTTAGTTAGCCCCCCCCCCCCCCCCCAGCATGTAATTTTTTAAGTTTTCGAATTTTGTGGAAAAATAAAAATTTATTGGGATAAAAAATGGGTTATTACAGCAATCATCTTAAGAAATCTATAAACCAATCATTTTTTGTTCATCTCTTATTACCTCTCTCACTTAAAGCACTGCCACAGCCAAAGGAAAGTCAACAAAATCAAAGATTAAAAAAGAAAAAAAAAAAAAAGATGCATGTACAACAATTAGTGCAGATCAACTATCGATTGTTTCGGATTTCCAGCAAAATCTTTAACAGTGAACCCGACCTTGTCAAACTTGCCTTTCTCACTGCTCTCTCTGAATTTCAAATAGTCTCTACAAACAAATTGCTTGTACACCCTCAAACTTCCTTCTCCCACCACTTCATTTGGGGCAAAAATCACTTTCTCGTCCTCAAAGCACCAAAAGAAAGCCAAAGAGAATCTATTTATATTTCTTTTTAAAACAACTTTATGTTCCGATGATCTCAACTTCCCATTGCTCCATGCATGCATCAAGTCTCCAATGTTCACAACAAAAGTGTCTTCACATGGGCTTATGTCCATCCACTTGCCTTCCTTAGATCTTACTTGAAGCCCTCCAATCTCATCTTGACATACAATTGTCACACAGCTCATGTCAGTGTGCATTCCAAGCCCTTCAACTTCTTTTCCTTCCACACTTTCCGGAGATGAATAGTTGTTTATTCTCATGTATCCATGACAGTTATTAAAGTCACATTCATAAAACTTCTTTGCAAAATCATCTCCCATGCTCATTAGCACTGCCTTAACTATTCTTCTCGAAAGCTCAGACATTTTGGCCCCATATTCTTTAACAGTCTCGCTGGTTTAAACACAAAGTAACAGACATATAATAAGAATATAACAGATTGCAATTATTGCTTCATTCTCACTGATTAAAGAAATGAAGGGGAAAAAAAGTCAAGTGACAGTTGTGACTTTTGAGTTGCTATTTATTACCTGAATTCAGAGTTTGAATGGTCAAAGAGAATTGCCGTAGAACTTTGTGCAGAAGCAAAGAAGTCTGGTCCAGAAACACGAAGACTTTCGAAGAATGGAGATGCAATAAAATGTGGGGTGTAGGTTCTTACCAATGATGATGGACCTACCTTGACTTTGGACTCATAAGGCAGGCTGAAGATATGATTTGATAGGGAATAGAGTTTCCTGTAAACATCTTTCGAAATTCCATGGTTGATTATATGGAAGAAACCCCATTCTTTGCAGGCTAGAGAAAGGGAGGAGAGACAGGATGGACTTAAGGGCTGAGAGATATCAAAAACCTGAAGTTCTATAGAAGTCTGGGATTCAGGCATTATCTAGAGCTAGAGAATAAAATCAGTTGGATTTTTCAGTTTGGTTGGTATGTGTAGCACGGAGGGATACATCAGAACATACAGAGGCAGACCTTTATTTATATGTTCATATACTTAATTGAATAAATCAATAAGGACAAGTTTACAGCTGTCCTAGTTTAGTACAACCAAGCACATTCAAGTATAAAAAAACAGGTTGAAGTTGATACGAAGGTCAACACGTACAGCTTAATTTGCTGTTCTTGGAAGGAAATTTATTTTATTAAAAATTTATTCTTAGAAGGTCAACCAGCATAAACTTGTAAATAAACTGTAATTCAATTGACATTAGTGTTTTTTAAATTAAAAAAAAAAAAATTCAAGTCCTTTACAATAATAATAAAAAAATCAGAAACTTGAATTTCTCAAATTGTAATTAGTTGATGGCCAGCAGCAGGCGTGAATGAAGGAGGTGCGCTGGTCACTTACAATTTGTCAAATTAATTGTGTTAGTTAAGTACAATATTTCTTGAGCTTAGATTCTCCGCAGGGAATAATATTTTGACGATTTGGGTTTAACAAGTGTCGCATGTGTATATGTCAACTTTGGTAATCAATATATCAACAAGTATGTCAACTAGTTAATTACTAATGAGTGGGCCGCTGACATTAGCTATATGCCCATATATATATATATATATAAGGTCAGAAAAATTCATTACAGCTTTAAGGTTTATGATCAGGAAATTTTGTCACCGAGTGTTGTTGAAACATGAGATAGCCCCTTACCAGCAAATGAATCATTTAAGATTAGTCATTTTCACGTGAAATCAAATGTTGAAATTATGACTGCCTCTCCAAATTCCTTTTCTCGATCTCGTATTTTCATGAATCATGGAGATGATGTAACGGGCTGAAGGTCATTTATTTTATTAGGAATTCATTATTCACACAAGGTTCCTATTTCCAAAAACAGAATATGTAAACATTCGCACAAGGCTCCTTACTTCACCAGCTAGAAAAACAGAATGGTAGTGTGTGTGTATATATTCTATAATTAAATATCGAAAAAACTATTTTTAATGGGAAAAAAGTGCATTCCTTAAAACAAGCTAGAAAGGGCAACTTCAGGCCCATTTAACATTGACAGCAAACGCCCCACATTGCCATTTAACTTTTACAACAAGGTCTCTGCTTGTTAGTTTTTTCTAGGCCCAAGTCCCCTTTTGATTGGACCAGGGTTAATTTGGGCCCTTGTACTCCTTTCAACGGCCTTTTGTAAATGAAGCTTTTGTGGACATGGCAAAACAAAATCGTTCTGGTTTCCAAGGGTGAGCAAAATAGGGTGTTAAACGAAAACCGAATTGATTCAATTTTTAAAGTCAATTTTTTAAAAAAACCGAATCAGAATAATTTTGGTGTTTGGTTTTTTAGATTTTATAATCGACTTAACTAAAAACCTTTTTTTTTTTTTTTTACATATAAAAGGCAAATGAAAAAAAAAAAAAAAAAAAACCCTTAATCTAATATAAAGCAGCAGCCATCAGCCTTCTTCTTTTTACCTTTCTTTACATCTCCTCTTTTCCCCTTTCCTTTCCCTTTCTCTTTCCCTGTTCTTCCTGTTTCCTTTCTTTTTTTTTTCACCTTTTTGTTTATGTTCCTTTTCCTTTCTCTCTTCTTTTCCTTCCTTTTCTTCTCTCATAATCCGGACTCCACAAATAACCATGCTCGTCACGACCTTCGAAGTGGATCATGATTGGTGCAAGAATTGAGAAAACTATGAGACCCGACTCTACTCAAGCAAGCCTCAAATTTCTAATAATAATTCAAACCCGTATCACTTCAAGCATCATTTCTAGTTTAACATCCATAATCATCATTCTAACTAATCAATATCACAATGCTTAAATATATCCATAATCAAATTCTAATACAACTCCCACAAGATATAACTACAAAGCTTCTAAAAGATACAACCAAATCAAGCACAAGTTCTAAAATATTATAGGTAAATGAGTCGCATGATCAATGTGCCGACTTTAAGACAAACAATTGAGTGGAAGCTAAAAGAGCAATCTTACAAGCCCTACTAGATTGAAATAGTAAAGGCCGAGCAAATCAACGACTCAGTAAATAAATATTATATAACATAATAAGAGAGGAAAACGAACTAAAGATGATTACTTAAATTTTGACTTAAGATGCAATGCTTATTTTTCCAAACCAAATACATATCATAAATACCAAATTGTATATCATAACTTAAATGATTCAAAATCAAATCACATCAAATCATCAAAATTGATATATATAAATCACAATCAAATAAAATCATATATATTGATTTTTATTACATTTAGGCTAAAAAACATAACGTATTATTAGATGCGAACAATCAAAGGTCACATCTCCCATGACAAGGTTTTCGTATGTTAACCGACACACGAGCTAGCACTACACCTCTTCCGCTAGTAGAGCTTAATATATAATTGAGCTCAAAGCTACACTCGTCGTAGCTAGGTACCCCAAGGTAACCAAAGCATATTAAAAATCACATAAACTTATACATATTTTAAAATATCCAAATCCAATATATCAAATACAATGCATGCTCAAAATTAGATTTGATAGTACAATTTAATATCAAATAAATATTACCAAAAGTTATACGAATAATCAAAATAACATTCTAAAGTAAATTAGCATTTAAATCCATAATCGCATATCAAACCATAAACAAAACACTTATTGAAGCATATATTCAAATCTTTTTTTAAAATCATATCAAATGCACAAAGTGGTCCTTTTCCATCTAAGTTTTAATGAATGTGCTTAAATCATAAATAAAATTGATGATGTATGGCGGATATGTTGAAGGAATTTAAAAGCATAATATGCTATATAATATCCATTCACAAGTAAAATCAATGGATCGAACGGAATCAAGGTTATTGAGATGGAGTCGTGTGCTCCGAAGAATCTAATAACACAAGATGGTGGAATAACCATCAATATCACTATTGAAGAATAATTCAAAACAAATGAATTGTTCTAGAAATAAGGATACAAGATTATCTATAAGAATAAAAATTGATCAAAAGACTCAAACTAATAACTTTAACTAAACTCTTACTCTCTCAACCGATTCTAAACAATTACCTAACTAATTCTAAGTTCACTTTAAACCTCTCCAATTATCCATCATTCATTCCCAATTCAATTTAAACTTTAAACAATCAATTCTCAATTGAATTAATAATTCTATTCTAATTTACTTAATACTCATTTCATTCATCTTTGATTACATTTATATAACTCAATTCTTCATTTTTTTCCAAATTCTTATTAATTCAAACCCAATTTTGAAATTTACTATTCATCATCTTTAACATCTTAATTAATCAAATTTACTCAAATCAACTTCATAAATCACTAATCAAAAGCAATTAAACATCATTTAATCACTTAATTAACTTTTTCCTAAATAGATCTAAAAAACCCTAACACTAAGCTAATAACATTCTTCATTCCAACAACAAACCCAATACAATTAAACTTCAATATCATTAATAAAACATGTAAATATCTTCATTTAAAGACCAAATGATGAAATTTCTTACCTTTGATAATTTGCTCTTCAACCCCCAATTCAATCCTAACTCTCTAAGCTTTTAAAGCTTTAATATAGCTAAACTCCACTTCAATCAACTTGTTTTATGGTTTTCTAAGTTAATTGGATAAGGTTTTGACTTAGAGATTGAAGGAGGGAGATAAGAAGAAATTATGAATGAACGAGGAAGACAAAGAAAGGGGAAGAAGGAAAGAAAAAAATGAGGGATAATAGTTGTCGTGTTTTTTATATCTTGCCTATTTTTTAACATAAACATCATTTTAGGATGGGTTATAACATCCTCCTCCCTTAAGAAAATTCATCCTCAAATTTAATTTTAATCATAACTTAGTAAACGAACAAGTCGAGGATATTTCGTTTTCATTTCTTTCTCAACCTCCGATAGACACATTATATTATATTTCTATTTTCCTTAAATTTATTTTATTTGCTATGTTTTATGTATTAATAGGTTAATTAATGTTCATATTTATTGATAAGACATAAATTCGGGAGTAGGAGTAATTGTGCTTAAAAGTTAAGAATTCTAACATTTTTTTACTTAGACTATTTGCCTTTCTTGTAGGTTTTTGGTAAATTGAGAGTCCGAATTGAAAAAAGTAACCTTCGTAAATTTTATAGAGGACATCTTAAGTTTTCCAGAACGGTATGTTAGGTCAAAATCCAAGTTCATTTGGATCTCCAAGTAATATCTCAAAGTCTAATCCGAGAAGTTGATTCAAAATCCTATTGGGGCTAGAACCAGTTTTGGTAATTAATTCATATTTGGAGTTCTAGATGGTCAATTGATTGGAAATACAAGCTTAATAAATATTTAAGACCCATATTTACAACTTTGATGAAGGGCCTAAGTCTAAATTAGGTGGGTTTAAAGTTGAAAATTAGTCGGCAAGTCAGTTCCTAATTCGGTTGGACTAATTTGCATAGTTTCGGTGTTTGGCCCACAACTCAAGTTTTAGATCTTCTATTGATGCAAAACCAAATGCATTGGAAAGATAACATATAGGAATAAAATCTTCTAAAGAAATAAATCTCTAATTCGGAATGCACATAATCCAAATTTGGCAATAAAAACAGAATAGGAAATTAGAATTCGATTTCCAGAAGATAACTTAGAAATAGTTATGACTACATCGAAACTCTATCTTCACTCGATTTTTCGAAGGATATCTCATATTAAATGGCAAAGAACATGTTTTCTACATCTCTCTCTCTCTCTCTCTCTCTCTTAAATTAATTTTTTTTAAAGACGTATTCGGAAAACGTATTTTTTATTCATTCATGTCTCAGCTAAATTTCATTAATCAATTTAAGGAACTTCAATTCGATTAGTAAATTATGAGACCTTATTCTTAATATTATTCAAGTATTTTTTAATTCAAGTATCCGT